GGGGGTGGGTGGGGGTCACAGGATTCTTCGGAGACATCACCAGTTTTTTCGGGAAAAACGATGGAGGGTTAGTTGGTCTTTACAAGAGTTCAAAGGGGAGAATATAGAAAACTGCCTGCCAGTGAGGGTGGTCATTACATTACTTCAGAGCCCTATGGGGAGTTCAGGTAAATGTTATTGTGACTTAACAAAACTCCCCCTAATTCCCCCCTCCCCCATCCGGCGAGAGATAATGACCAGTCCCTTGGTAGTAAATTGAGTTTGCCTCGCCTATCTCTTTATTTATATGCTCTCCTTTGACAGAACTCCCTTGCGCACTCTCATTTCACCCCCTCCCCCTACAGACACCATACATTTTCCTTTTCTCCAACCAATCAAACTATCTCCATCTTTTTTCTTTACTCTCCTCTGATTCCCGAAGACTGCATATGAATAAATCTCCCAACCCTTCGGCGTTTTTCCGGTTTTATAGTTGTGTTCGCATTGGTTTTACATCAGCGACTAATGGCCGAAGCCGGCGTAATTTTAAGAGTGGCACATGTCGTTAACTGTATCCCACTCTTTGAACCAACTGAGATGCAAAGTCATCCCCTCCCCACTTCCTCCCTTACTGTCCTCTGTTGCCCTTAAAGTGCATGTGACACGTGAGACATGTGACACGTGAGTGCATGTGACACGTGCCCTTCGGCCATTCTTAGGTTTCATAGTTCTGTTTTCTTCAGTCTAGCCTCAGCGATTAATGGCCAAAGCTGAGGTACAATTTTTAGGGAAGAGCGTGTTGTGAACTGTCAGTCCCATTTTATGAACTTGCTGAGATGCTAATTAGGGAGCCTCGTGGTTGGTGCGCTCGACTCTGGATCGAGTGGTCCGGGTTCGAGCCCCGGCCGGGACATTGTGTTGTGTTCTTAGGCAAGAAACTTTACTCTCACAGTGCCTCTCTTCACCCAGGTGTATAAATGGGTACCGGCAAATTTAATGCTGGGGGTAACCCTGCGATGGACTGGCTTCCCATCAAGGGGGGAGTAGAAACACTCCTAGTCGCTTCATGCTACAGAAACCGGAGTTAAGTACCGGCCTAATGGGCCACTAGGCTGGTAAACAGACTTTACCTACCTGAGATGCTAATTATAAGCGCGCTGTGATGTTGGAAACCTATCTTGAAGTTCTCCTAACCTCCCAAGTTGAGAATCACGCCTAGAAACGAATTTAAAGAACGTTCTTACGCCTAAGCGATGGATATAGCTCTAAGACACAGTGAGCTGCATTGTAAATTAAGTGTAAAAAATCTCCCATGGAAACGGTAGCAGGACATGCAACATGCCAAAAAAAGTGGAGTGCTATGCCCACTTTGGTTCATGAGGAAGTCTTCCCTTAAACAAAGAGAGAGAGTTGCGGTATCACTGGCGCAACAATTTTCATCCGAGTGCCTAAACCAATGCGGGGTTGACCATGACGGTTTGTTACCTCAACCAATCAACCAATCATCGACAATAAGATACAAAACCTTAGATAATCGGGACTTTTCCTTGTATGTGTTTACTTTGAATTTTCATTATAGCTCCTTGAACACTTGTCTTTGTCTCGAGGAGTTATCTTGATGAATGAATATCGCTCTACATCAGATGGCCCTTAAGGCAAACATCTTCCAGAAATTTGGTCTTTGAGGGAGAAAAATGCTAGGCCGTCCGCTTATAGGTGGAGTTCTGATCCATTCTGCGGGAGTAGGGAGAGGGAAGTTTAGTCAAGCAATATCTCTGGCGGCTCTGTGATCTTCGGCTGCCACCGATGAAGACGAGTGGGTGTATCCTGGCCACGATTGATCTTTCCTCTTTTTTCCTGATTTCCAGGAAGGGCGACTACTACCGATACCTCACAGAGATTTTACAAGGCGATGAACGTAAAACCCCATCAAACCAAGCGTTGGAGGCCTACAAAGCTGCAGAGGAAGTTGCCTCCGGGCTGCAGTCTACACACCCCATCCGACTGGGCTTGGCACTCAACTTCTCCGTGTTCTACTATGAGATACTAGATTCTCCAGATGCTGCTTGTAAATTGGCGAAGGCGGCGTTCGAGGAGGCCGTGAATGATCTGGATCCCAAAGGAAACGAAAGCCAATACAAAGAGAGCACTTTGATTATGCAGCTTCTCAGAGATAATTTGACCCTATGGACCTCGGAAATGCAGGAGGGAGGTGAGTGCGGCACAACCTTGGAGAGATTTTCAGTTGAAAGTCGAGAGCAATCCGATATCGCTTTGGTTTTGCACTATTGCACTCTCAGTCAGGATTGATAATAATAATAATAATAATAATGATAACGATAATGATAATGATAATAATAATAATAAATGTGATTGTGTAGTTTAATCGTCCGGGTGATTGTATTCCTGCGAAGGGCTGATGTCGGTGGGGGTGACTAGCTAGTGACCGACGTTTCGACAACCTGAAAGTAAATCATGGGTGAACAGATTTCAAACGAAGAGACTTTTAACCCCTTCCTTAAAGACCCTAAAGAAGCGCAGACCTTTACGTGATTACAATTTCCTTGAAACGATTTTTTTTTACAGAAAATTGGGTTACGGTTAGATTTAACTTAGTAAAGCGTTCCATTAAAAGGCCTTTGCCGGAATATTTCTGTAGGTGTGTCAGAGCTACACTCCCAGACAGATTTGTCGGGACACGAACTGTCCCCTCCGGTGTACCCCTCTCATTGTTGGTCCGGAAGAAAGAGAGAAAAAAAAGTGATTTACTCACTAAACTGTTACCTAGGTAACCTAAGGCAAAAGAAAGATCGCCAATCATGCATTTCGGTTAGTACGAAGGTGCTACGAAAGTGTCAGGGTGGATTTCCTTGCCTATTTGGGGAAGTCTCTTGAGTCCTTATGAGTACCGAAGACATTTTTCCTCCCTAAAACATCTCTACAATATCAAGCAGACAAATGATGAGAATAAAGAAAAATATAAATCAGGGGATTATTGATCCAATACTAAATTTTTGGAACTCAGAGCATCATGAGAGATATATGGGAGGCAGTAAAGAAAAATAACTAATCACAACTTGGGCGCGAGAGGGTTAACTGCATGACTGATTAATGCAATATTCTATTTTTCATTTTCAGGTGTGGAGGACGACTGAGTCAGGCATATCTATTGTCAACATCGACAAAACTTACATGGTCTTTAGAAAAATTATTCTTGATGATGACTGAAACACTTATGATAGAAATAACATTTTATTTCTAAAAGAATGTGGCCTTCTTTAAACGAAGGAAAATTAATGGGAAGTTGGATAGCTTCTAATAAAATGGAAAAAAAGTAACACAAACTTTAATGACAGCACAGTCAACAGTAGCATTCTTAATTATAGGCTACAATTAAGGATGTTTTTTTAGCCTAAGAAGCGCCGACTGTAAGAATTTTTTCTTTCGCAATGTTACTAGACGGTCTAATGTACGCTTCACTTTTCGGTTCCATACCCTCAGTTGTGGTACAACCTCTTTCCAGGGATAAACTAGTCATTTGATGAAAGTTACAGTTCTTGGAGCGAGATAACCTGAAAAAAAAGAGGCGTCTTTGTTTTTACCCCTCGAAACGTACGGAAACCGTAACTGTCAGCAATATGATTATAGGGATACAGCTTTGCTCAAAAATAACCTCCTTACCTCCCCCAACGTTGGCAGTATATGGCAGTCAATTTTCTAAAGCCTGCCTCTTTATACTCTGTCAGGTGGGGGAGGGGAGTGGTGGCGACAAATGATCCCCCTCTCAGTCCTCCTGAAAAACACGGAATCCTTCCAAAATCCCCCCCCCCCATCCTACTCGGCGATAAATAACGATTGGTCCCTAATAATAATAAGTTAAGAAAGAAAAATTCACTAAAAGTTGTAGTTCGATTAAAGCTTCTTAATTCTTTCAGTCTATATTTTTGTAGTAAGGCCGCGGAGTGGGAGAAATAAGAAGACAAAATATAATTGGAAGTTAGAAAGAGCTTTGAATGACACGTAGCCTCCTGTCTGAGAAATATCATTAATGTACCTGGCTTTGCCAACTTGAACTCAAGAGCTGATACTTTATTGTAAATAAACACCTGACAACTTTACATGATGACTCGCACTCAGCGGTGAAGAGAGTTGGGGCACGCTCACATCACTCGCTCTCATCGCTTTTTCAGGCCTCTATTTCAGCTCTCTTCACGCTCCTTTGAAACAGCACCTTGGGTTATATAAAAGCGAACTGGTCATCAAACAGTTCCTTTATCTGAAAGAAAATCACAATCAATACTGGAAAATACTTCCTCTGAAGGTAAGTGGACGACATCACAATTTATAACATAACCAAAGTAAAGCGCGCGCTCTGATTGGTCAATTTAGCGTCCACCATTTGCTCATGGGTGCACGCTGTGGTGTTTACCATTTGTTTATGCCGAGCTCAACATGGGCGCACATAAACTTCGTGAACCCAAATCCGAACAAATGCAAGGGAATGCTGATTTCCTTTCTGAGGAAAGACTCCACTCGAGAAAGTGAATTCACATAAAGTACTGGGGTCACCTTGTGTGACAACCTCAAATGGAATATCAACACGCAGGAGATGATAATCAAAGAGTGTAAGCGCCTGTACCTGCTGAGGGTATTAAAACGCGCTGGCGACCCTCAGCCACACCTCGTCGCAATTTATAACGCCATGGTCAGGTCTGTCCTAGAATACACCTGTCCTGTGTGGAGTATAAGCCTCCAGCATTATCTCAACGACCACTTGGAACGCACCATGCAAATAATTTACCCATGCTTTGGCTTCAACACAGCACTCTACCAGAGTTGTATACCTCGTTTAGAGGAAAGGAGGTGGAGCCTCTCTGCTCGATAACCTTTAGTAAGACCTGTGACCCGCCTGCCCCTTCTTCGTAAACATCCCGCGACAGCAAGCTACTGTTCATGGCCGTGAAATGCGTTTCGCCAACCGTGTATTGTTACCGCGTTATGGAACTTTCAAAATAGCTTTTCCCCGTCGATGGCTTATTGATTTAAACCGCCTCCCGGTTAGCTCGGTGGATAGAGCGCTGGACTGTTGTGCGGGAGGTCGAGGGTTCTAGCCCCGGCCGGACCAACACTCAAGGTCTTAAAATAATTGAGAAGAATTTGCTACCTTTCTATAACATCAAGAAATGGTTAGATATTCTAGTCTTCTCGGATAGGGACGAATAAATGGAGGTCCCGTCTCCTGCAGGGTTGGGGTAGGAGACGTTAATTTCCCACACACGAGATTACTGTGTGATGGATGTCCTCCCCTGGGGTGGGATGGGTGGGATATAGGGCGCACTTAATTTGGAGCCTCGCTCTGTTGTGCGACCCTCACCACACTCTGGTGAAAGTGATTAAATAAATAAATAAATAAATTGAGTGAAATCTGGTGTTGAAAATGTTCAATCTATTGCTCAAAACAGTACCCAGATGCTGCTCTTCTCCTACTAACTTCTCTTACAATTCAAACTTTCCCCCTTTGCAAGAGTTGATGTCTTTGGTGGAGCGTTTGAGGGTTACCCACCACGCGAAGTAAGTACAAGCACAAAAACTGNATTGGTCAAGACAGAGGGCATTTTTTCTTAATTTTTGTAATTGCCCCGGGCAAAATTACTTGAAAATGATTGGCTGAAAATCGCTTAGCAACGGCTGCCAAGGTAAAGAAATTTCTGTTTGTTTTGTAACAATGGCGTCCCGTTTTGCGCGAGATCAGTAAGAAAACATTTTGCCCCTTATATTATAAACAAGTAATCACATGGTTCCTCGTAAAATTAAGGATTAATATCACATGTGTTTTCGGAAGTTGCAGAAATTGCCCTCGTCGCTGCGCGACTCGGGGAATTTCAGCAGCTTCCGAAAACACGCGTGACATTAATCCTTAATTTTACTCGGCCCCATGCGATTACCTATACAAATGGTACTTATGGTAATTAACACTTGATACCCAAACGGATTGCATATTCTCCCTACTGTACTCTATACATTTCCTAAGGTGCTGACTGGGAGACTTAATTTAACAATCAAGAGCTCCTTCAGTTGGTGATCATTTCCCTTATTCTCATGACCTTAGTGTGTGATGCAGGTGCTGATATCGTAAGGAGAAATTAGATGGTTGTCAATCCTAGGGGTCAAGGGTTGAAGGTGTCTGTCAGTGTCTTAACACTAGCTTTGGATGGCTAATTCCACAAAGTCGCTGGGGTCTGGCAGGAGCTTTTAGAGCCTGTATTCCCTAAGTATACCTGTCAAGTTATCTGGAAATTTTGATCTTCGATTCCCATAATTCCAGTTGCACTTACATCATCAGGCCATCTTTTAATTAACAATTATTCGCCGAAGGCGAGGTGAATATCGTCGAATAATCCCCGAGACGAAATCGAGGGGATTATTCGACAATATTCACCGAACCTGTGGCGAATAATTGTTTTAGTATAATTTCAGAGCTGAACAACAGAGAAATTTCTAAAATCATAACGTTTTAGTAACATCTATTAACATTTTATTTTAACATTTTATATAAACCGCGTGGAGCGGTTTATATAGCGTCATATAAGGAACCTCTCGACCAATTAGATTGCTGGAAACTCTTTACTCAGCTCTGAAATTATACTAATTACCAATAGTAACCATTCCACACACTTTTCATAAGTCAACTTTATTTTGACCAACTAAAATGTACAAACAGTTCCTCAAACACACTTTGAACTAACACATTTGCGTTTACTTTAACTGTCACTATACCAACTGGGTACTAATCAAATTGTCAAATGACTGGCAGCTTAAGTAATGTCATAGCATGGTCACAATTATTTTCTTACATAATTTTAGAAAAAGACTATATGCGTGGAATATCAGTTGACCTAAACAAAACATTCATGGATAATACTTTTTTTTCAAAATATATAATGATAAATCAACATAACAATCTATATATTTCATGCTATAGGTAGCAGTATACAAGTAACAACTCTGTGAGTATCTAAATGGTTAACAGTGACATGATGTAGAATGCCTTCATACATCATCTTGATCAATATCTTGCACATTCATATCTTCTTTGCCCTCCTCTGTAAATTCAAACAGCACACAGATCATTTTCATTAAAACAAAAACCCAAGACATATTTCAATAATGTTGTTCAGAGGAATAAGGAATTAAACCTCTCCTACCAGATGAGAGCCATTATGTCTTTGGGGCTGTAAGAATTTTTTCCGATTGTAAAGTTCGTAATGCTGGTGTTTTTTTTTTTTTTGGGGGGGGGGGAGGGGGTGTTTCAGTGGTGGATCTGCTAAAAATAGCAGTGGGACTGAATGAGGAATGAAGTGGAGAAAATTAAGACTTGCTGAGAGGAAAACATTTCCAACTTGACTCTGCCACTTTTTTCGAGCATTGATACTTTTATTTTATTTTTCCCTGAGGATTTCATCAAACTTCCCAACCCAGACAGTTTTCCAACACCCATTAACATTCCAGAATGGAGGAAAGAGGCACAGTGAGAGCAAACTATGTGCAGCAGCTGAAAAAGGATGCTCCCGATAAAAAAAGAAAAACAAAAAAAAAACAAAACAAATTAAAACCATCCAAACATCTCTACCTGCACTTCAACATAAAAGAGACAAAGCTAGGATTTAAATGAGCAAACTGGTAATGCCAAAGGAGAATGAAGACTGATTGGCCAGTATAAAAAGTTGGTGTCTCAACAGAATAAAGTGTAATTTTAACACTTCATCACCCAAGATCTGATTGCTTATCCTCCCCTCTAGCTGCCGCTCATTTCCTAGTGAATTAGTAAGGGGAATTTGGTGTTAGATCATAATGCAGAAGATTCTCATCCCCTGCTTGTTAAATATTATATGGATATTGAAGGCAGAAGTTACATTTCAATCACTTCTAATTAACAAATGGTAAACAACACAGCATACACTATACACTATTGAGTTATGGATGTACGTGGGAGGTTGCTAAGCACGAAAGAAGCGCAAGAGTCGCTTGAGGTGATAGCCGAGAGCGACTCTAGCTTCTTGAGTGCTTAGCAAACCTCCCAAGTGCATCCATAACTCAATAGTGTACGCTGTGGTGTTTACCATTTGTTTTATAACATAACATTGATACATTGTAGCTAAAGAGTTCCCTTTTATTTAACAAATCTTACGTGACCAGAAAAAACAAGCGCGCACGGAAAAATAATCTTTGCATTTGCTCACATCAGCAGTGTACACCATGGGCAAATGGGGGACGCTAAATTGACCAATCAGAGCGCGCGCTTTACTTTGGTTATGTTATAATAGTTGAGGGGTTAAGTGCCTCGAGTTTTACTAGCATGGGGCACTTGATGTAATAAAAGTAAAAGTGGCCCTGGCAGTAGGAACTAAATCAAAGTACAACTAACCATCTCCCTGCATGTCGCAAGTCCAAAGTGTCAAGTTGTCTCTGAGTAACTGCATGATCAATGTGCTGTCTTTATATTTATCCTCCTCCAGAGCCTCTATCTTGATAATGGCCTCATCAAATGCTGTCTTGGCCAAGCGACATGCCCGATCTGGTGAGTTGAGGATTTCATAATAGAACACAGAAAAGTTGAGAGCCAGGCCCAAGCGGATGGCATTGGTGGATGCCAGTTCAACTTCTGCTAGATCAGAAGCTGCTTTGTAAGCCTCAAGTGATTTCTGTGCCGCATTCTTCCTTTCATCATCTTTACTAAATTCAGCCTTATAACGGAAATAGTCCCCTTTCCTGAAAAGTTGACACAACTCTCATTACTAATTAACTCAATATAGCAAAAGGTTTTATATTTATCTTTACTGGCAGTGGCAAGGGAGTATTTCCTGAGATTTTCAGCTAAGATCTTCACTTCCAAGGGTCCTCTAGAAACTATACCATGATAAATTTACAAACTTTTTCACCAAATTCAAGACTTTAGATTGCAGGTATCCCCCACCCCCCAGGTATTTTTGTGTGGATAAAAGCCTCTCCATCGGTACCACTGTATTGTCTGAGGAACCCGATGCCTCCAACAAACTAACATCCAATCTAAGTGAGCTTGAAATAATCTCAATGCCTCGTGCTGGAGAAATCCTGACAACCTCCATCACCCATTGACATCAGTCTAATGCACAGTTCAGGGTCTGCCCATATTGACAAGCCTCTAGTATTCATCACAATTCTTGTGTCACTACATATGGTTCACGCGCACTGAAGGGTTTGTAGCCACATTCAACATTGCAATATCCCTAAGAAAATTATCTTTATTTAGGTTGCATTTCAGTCGTTTAACAGCTGAAGTTGTGTTAAAAAGAAAAAAAATTATACAATTTTCTCTGAATGCAACAAGGATACCACTATCACTAAAGGCAAAGTTAGAGTAAATGAACATACTGCCAAAAAAAAAAAAAGTTGACACCGCATGTAGGTGGATGCAAGAATCAAGCAACTTCCTTTGCCACATCAAAACTCCTCCTCGTAACTAGGCCTATTGATTACTTAACTGGGAGGAAGAAAGCATTGCAAGGAGGTTCAACTCTGATTCATGAAGTGAATCCTGCCTCCTCTACACCTTAGTATCAGTCCACCAACTCTTCATACATTTCCTTAAATTTTTTAACACTCAGGAAATCCTTTACTCCGTGATAATTTCCTTTACTCTGGCAACCTTCATGTGTGATTCAATGATATTGTAAGGAGAAATTAGATGACAGTCACCCTCTGGGTTCAATAGGCTTAAGAGAGAATTGTGTGCATAACAAAGACCTGTTTTGAATTACAGAGGTCACTCTCACTAGGATTTCCTGTAGAGCTATACTATAGTCTATTGGCCAGAAATTTATCATCGGAATGACTTGGTCCAGACTGCTGAATAATTGACACTAAATGTTGCATGCTAGGACTGAACATGTTTATTTCTACAATAACTTTTTTCAGTGTACTTTGTGACAATAGATCATCTCTTCTTCTGAAGCTTATCAGCTTGTTGGAAATACCAAAAGTAACTGGCCCACTTTCAGGTCCATCTTATGCTTTATTGCTAGAAAAATGCATTCATGCAGCAATATCTATACTTCACTTTAATATCTCAAACAAAGTAAATCATACAATTCCCTATGTACAAGGGGAAATATGGATGAAAATTACATGTAAGACTTAAAATAATCATCACTATATCTGGACAAATTAAGAAAAAATGGAAAAGAGGAAGTGCAGATAATTTACAATTTAGAAGGCTTCCTTTGGGACTTTCTTTTGGAGTTGAGTTGACCTGAGAGTGGCCTAGGCCATTTCTACACTGTCATGTTACACTAATTGTACTTCAACCGGATATAAAACATGGATGTTGTTAAGAAATGGCTGTTAAGAGGCAAAGCCAAGCATGCGCTTACTAAAACCTAACCATTATACCCATGCAGGAATCATTCACATTCCATGCACACTATACAAAAAAAAAAATGCCAGTGGATATGCATGTCCTATAAACTAATAAGTTTCCATTTTTCCTTGAAATTCTTCAAGAGTCCTTGTCTTCTACATCTTGCACTTCAATGTCTATAATGTAACCAAACGTAATAACATTTAAGAGGGCTTAAAACATCAGAGCTGAAATTAGTTATTTGTCATTGCCAAACATTATTCCATTGTCTTGCTATTTTAAAATATTACCAGTCACTTGGCTTGCACTCTAGAGATCTTGTAAATATAAAGCCAGAAAAATTCATGCTGCAAACCCATACTACATTACAATTCCCTTTTTAGATATTTCACAAGTAACAGAAAAACAAATCTTTCAGCAAACTACAGCTCAAACTTTGAAGTCAAGATTCAGTCATCTTCATAGGGTTTTTGAAGTAGTGTGAAATACTGAAACAAATGCCACAAACTATATCCTTCAAGGCTAAATTCCTGCACAAGCAACAAGCAGAGGGTTCTAGATGACAACTTCTCTAAATTTATTCACAATAAGGAATCTCTTGGATTTGTGAAGGGCACAATGTCTTACAAAATAAAATCAAACAAAATAACATTGCACTGTTAAAAGCTACCTGATTAAATGCAATTAGAAGGGTTCAAATCAAAATATAATCTAAATCAAGAGAGAAAAACATACCATCTCCTTGGGTCTCTGATGTCCACAAAGTCAAGTTGTCCCTAAGGAGCTGCATAATTAAAGTGCTATCCTTATACTTGTCTTCTGACAGCTCTTCAAGTGCAGCAATAGCGTCGTCAAAGGCTTTCTTTGCCAATTTACAAGCTTCATCTGGTTCATTCTTTATCTCATAATAGAAAACGGAAAAGTTGAGGGCCAGTCCAAGTCTTATTGGATGTGTACATGGCAGATCCTTGGCATAATCATGAGCCTCTTCATACGCCTTAAGAGACTTCATAATTTCATCAGGAACTGAATCATCAGCTTTTTTGTCAGGAAGAAACTCAGCCTGATAGCGCCAGTAGTCTCCCTTCCTTCAAACAAAAAGTTACAGAAGGGGGGTTAGGAAAGAACAGGGATTTCCATAGACTGTTTTTTGAACTGGTAAAGTGGTGTTCAAGTCTAAACAACTATGTTATATGTAGGACTTAAACAGGATACTAACACATACACTGGACAGAATAGTGTAAAAGGATAACTTTCCATGACAAGCTCTGATTTCAAATCCCATGCAAAACAATTTTTTTTGGCTTTGTACACAAAGATAATGGAACACATTCATAGCTACTTTGGTTTCATGATAAAAAATGAGAAAGCCTGACTTCAACAGGATTTTATTGCACATGTTGTTCAAAAAACTTTGAAAAAGGATCCAAATGTTTCCAAGCTATCTGATTAGGTAAGACAAATTGTAAAAATGTTCGGAAACAAAGAAAAAAAAAATTCTGTCCCCCCCCCCCCAAAAAAAAGGAAAAATAAAAGGACAACACCATGGCTAGAAAACAGAAACAAATGATTACTGCATAAATCTTTCACTTCAAAAGAGATTTGGTCTTTGGCATGTTTCATGATGTATCTAAAGGACCACCTCCTCAATGTTTTGAACTCTTGGCATCTCACTTAAATTTTTTTTTTTTAACCGTAGCACAAGAAATAATTAATAAGGGGGAACCATAGGATATCAGTCCTGTGTAATACATGCTGGAAAATGACACCAAAATGAAGAGGAGAAAAACTTCACCAAATTTTAGTTTGTACAAAAGCAGAGCCACAACAAAATTAAAGCATTGCAATGTTGAGAATAAAAGCAGCAAAAAAAGGGAAAAAAGAAAACAGAAAGCTTATTTTGATTGGATGAACTGGATTTGTTGATTGGAGACTCTTGGTTCTATAACTCAAAGAATACAATGACACACTATACAAAAGTTTGTTTAAGCAGGATGGAAAAGGGTGCCAAAATGACATAGGTGCCACCCCTGCCAAATAAGAGCTATCAAACTGGTGGTGAAGGTTGTCTCGTTCACTCTCATGGACTTCAATTCATGTGATATGCGACACTTTCCAGCTGTTCATAGTATTTTTTCAGACCAATTTCAGGTTAGGTGTGAAACATTTTTTGCCCTCAAGCAAAACTAAAATTACATGGAGTGCAAGCTTTAAACAATGCTGTTTCTCTTGCTACACCCTTTAAAATTAGCTTGTTTTCTGGCTCAATTCTGGGCAAAAACAACTGTGCATCACTTTTGCTGACATAGAGATGCACTACTGCATTACCAATAAAAATTTTGGCATGAAGTTCAATAGCATCTCATCATTTCTTTCACAACAAGTGATGCCAGACACTAATTTTGCTTCCTGCCATTTTCTATAACTGACTGGAAACCAAATAAGTACCACTCTGAAATTACATGACAACAATAATAGTAATCTTACTGCTATTACTGTTGTCCAAAGTGTCTGATTATAGCCAAAACCAAAGAATCTGCTTTGTAAAACATATGGAAATCCCTGCTGGTGAAATCATGAGGGAAATGTTTCCTGATGACAGGGAACAGTACTGACATGCTTTACAACAATTTTATGACCATTAAGTCTTTGTTGTTAACAATTCTACAAAATATGTTTCCAGAATCAAAAATCAAGTATCAAAGATACTTCACAAGTGAGATCCTGCTTTCAATCAAAGGCTCCTTGGAACCACTCTATGGTACACTTTATCTTAGTTATTCACTTTTAAAACCCTCTGCCATCTCCTTCCAATACAATATGACATACCCTTAGATGACCAGCTTAATGTTAACTCAATAGGCTAGCAAGTGAAAGGAGGGAAAACCCATCATGATAACTTTAGCTTATAGCCCAACAAAAGACACTTTTTTGAATTATGTTAACCACTCCATGTGCTTCATGCAAACTTTCCCATCTTTGTCCCACCCCCAGATATTTGAACAGGAGACACTGGCAAGACTGAGGACAGAACAATACTTTATAGCGGGGACAGGGAGCAAAGCAATCAATCTACATTTGATAGATAAATTAATTAAATCACAGATTATGAAGAAAGCAAATTTCAGCTCTGAACCAAAACCTCATTGCACAATGTCATACTGACCTCATACCACAAGGTAAAAACACAAACATGAATGTACATTAACACAGAAATGTTTAAATTGACTTCATAGAAAGGCAAAAACAAGGAATCTGAAGAATATTCATGGCACATTTTGCTGTTTGCTTTGTTATTTAAATAAGTAGCACCTACACTGAAATAAATAAATTATTAATAGTAGCCGATGTATGGTCTGTGGAAAAATAAATAAAGGTTCCTTTTGCCAGTTAGAACAGACCTGTAAAATCAGCCATTTCCTGTTCATTTTCTTCATATCAGGTCCAATTCCTCTTCAAAACTTACACAATTTCAATCTTGCCCACTGAGTATACATGCACATAACCCATTGCAATATTCATTATTTGAAATTTTCCTTGAAAATTTCCACAAAGAAGCCCGAGCCATGAAGTTATAGACTAGAATCCATCTGAGAAAGGAAATAATTCCTCTATGAAAACTGTCAATGTAATGGCACAATTTCAACTAATAACAAGTTTACAGCTGCACATGATGCAAGATATATCTGACAAAGAGCTTCAACAGCTAATAAAGAGTCCAAATATGTACATGTATAGTCTAACGTGTGTGATTTCCTCTCTCGATCACAGGCCCACATTTTCCCCTCCATTTTCTCAAATCCTACACACAAAATCCAGGCCTTTGGAAGACGTAAGACTGATAAGGAATCAACGCTTGCCCACTACGAATTTTTCAATGATCAATGGACTTTCGAGATAAATCATACGCAGTAGTAATCTAATTTATTATACAGAAATTATCAACATGTAGAATATGTCACTTACATTTTGTGATAGAACACTTTCGATTCCGGATCTTTTGCGTTCTCTATCAGGTTATTATCCAACAATCCTAGAATTTCATTGCAGATCTCTTTTAATTCCGTTTCCACGTTCTCTTTGTATTTTTGTATCACGCTTTTCTTGGGGTCGTCGTTTTGGGTTTTCTCCAGGCTTGAGAGAACGCGCCAAGAAGCTCTCCTCGCACCAATGACATTCTTGTAGGCAACCGAGAGTAAGTTACGTTCTTCTATTGAAAGTTCTCCGCCCTCCTGTGCTATTTCCTTCATGTGGTTTTTCATCTCTGCAATAAGAAGCATATGACACCTTCAAAATCTTTGGAACATAAATACGTGAAGCGGCAAGTAAACATTGCATTGATAGGCAGATCCAAACCCTGTCAAACTTCGAACAGAAATCATACTCTTGTTAAAATTTTACCCCATGACACTCCTTTAAAAACTAACGAAGACGGTAATTCGAACGGTCGTAATATTGGTAGTTTAACTCAAATCAGACAGTATACAGCCAAATTCCATGGATGAGCCATCCTACAACTCTCTGCAAAAAAACTTAAAAAAGAGGCCAAAAATCATTTACCAACCATCATAACGCTCCGCCTGCTCGGCCAACTTGGCCATGTAAACCAAGCTGTCTTTACTAGTCATGTCGATGGGCAAAACTACGAAAGATACCACTCGGATGAAACCGTTTGACTGAAACTCCCCGAACCGAAAAATTCAAGATGGATGCGGGGCGCGGTGAACGAGACAGTAATAATCACATGACCCTATGACGTTATGTGTAGTCGGGGCAACCAATTCAAATAGCTGAAAAGCTTTTAGTCAGCGGTCGCTACTTCCGTCATTACTCCATATAAACTTATACATGGTGTATACAGTTTCACTAAGTCAATCCGACCTGCTAAATATTAAATATAACAAAAAGAGAAACATAAATTTTTCTAACCTGTGAACAGGTCTTCTCTTTTTTCGACAGAGGCATCTCAGAATTCTAATTGTTGCGCTGCTTCACGCTCACACTCCCTCGGAAAAAAAGGAATTGAAGAACTGCTAATCAGCAAGATCGATTTTATATCTGTTTCCATACAGGATCATTGTAAAAAAACGATTGCATACTGCCACTTGGTATTGTTTTATCTATATTTGCGAAAGTCTCTCGTCAAATTCTTGTCAGTAGTTGATGACATACATACACTTACAATAAATTTTTTTAAAGGGTTTTCCTTCTAAAAAATAAAGCATCATCCAAAAATCCTAAAAAGGGAGTGCATACACAGAGGTCTATATACGACGAAACCATCCTCGTATTAAGGTGAACTGCAATTGAAGAAAATGCAGAAAAAGAGGTCCGAGAAATTCATCAGCCTTTAATAGCGGGGCTCCCACGCGCGCCTCGCGCGCGTGGGGCAGGGTCCCATAACCATGGAATATGGTCAACCGCTTTTCGTTTGGTTGTCACGTGACTGACCGAGCGTACGTACGCGCCTTCAGATTACATGGGTAGGGTAGGGGAGACTATCAAAACGAAGGGAGGGGTCTCTCAGGCGAGTCTTAGCAAATGCACGTCTTTTATGTTACGAACTCGGGAGCTCCGCTTTTAGGCATGGCTAAATCTATACATTAGAATTCAACCCCATGCCTCTTACATACTTATGGCGGTTACCAATTGCTTAGAAAATCAAACAAAAAAACAAAAAACAAAAAAATTCAAAAACAGAATTGGAAAAAAAAAATTTTGAAAAATAAACCTATAATTTGCACCGGGGACAACTCTTCAATTCGGAGTTTCGGATACTTATTTACTAGATTCTCCCATGATACCAATATATCTTGAAGAGTATACGAAGTTAGGGAGCCTTCAAAGTTTGCCTACTCTGTCTAAGCAAATTTGAAACTGAAAATACATAAATGACCTCCATGATTCAAATCAATACAGTACAAGGGTGAGATGAGGAGAGGTCCATGACGTTGAAAATGCCTGATATTCCATATTCTTTGTGCACAAGTGTTTCAACACTTTTGTCCACGACTCGCTGATAAGAAATTGCACGGGCATCTTGAAGATTTCTTCCCGTTTTTTTTTTTTTTTTTCCGTAAATGCGTTTTAACCCTTGAGCGCATCCTGTTACCTATTACCTGTTGCTCCATCTATCTAATAGACTGAGAACATAGAGACGGGTGGAAAATGAATTCGGGTACTGATTTAATTTTATAATATCAAAAGAAACATAACCGTTATAAGATACTTTTTACATATCAGGTCTGGCAGAACTGAAAGAACTGGTTTTCTACAATGAATGAAAGTAAGGACGCAAGACTTCGGCACGCAATTCTCCTGCGAGTTCAGTACCAAATGGATTGCAAATAACAGTTCTATACGATCGTCTGCCATATTGACCACGCAAAATGTAGTCGCACTCCGCGAGTAGTTTCCTCAGGATCCTAAAAACAGCCAACTTTTTCTAAATGGAATGGGAAACAGTCTGCAAATCAGGCGAATTTTATACCGAACGAACGCTAAATCTTATGAGCATTTGTTGAAGCCACCACATTAAGCAGGCAAAATCGAGGGAAGCCTAAAGCAACAAACTAACAAACTAGTGAGGAGAGGGGGGTCCCCCCTCCGCCGACCTCATTAATTTGTCATCCTCGCAATTAGGCCAGACTTCTAGACGAAGAATGGTTAATTACTGGGGCTACCCTTTCATTTACAAACAGGGCGGTTCGTTACGCTAGTTCT